CACACAATTTAAAATATAGCATCTGCTAATAGCATGTTTACTATCTGAATGTCTGCTTTAGTTTGTTAGAATGAACTGAACCCGATAATCAGTTAAGCAAACAATTCTTTGTAGTATAAGACAACCTCGGAAACAACTAGCAAATTGCTCAATCAATTATATCAATGTTTTGACTTGATTTCAGGAAATTTTTCTCTAAAAATATAAAATTCCTTCCAAACATGACAATGTTTTGGTTTAACCAAGATGGCGGCTGACTTTCAAAACGGGCTTTACCGCGTTTTATATAAAGTATATACTACGGCGTCTTCTGTTTATTAAACCTTATTGAACAAAACAAATCAAATTCAAAAGATTAGATCTATATTAAACATTAAGATTAGAAGAAGAAATAGACCATGAATTTCATTCTTTAATAGCAAACCGGGTGCCTAAAGCAGCTACTACAATTCCAAGTTCAGGTCATAAGAGGTTAATATTGGGAGAAAATGATTAGAAGGAAGTGATTTAATATATCGAGCTGAAGATGTCAAACAAAGTTTTTAGGGAAATTTTAGAACTGCAGTTGGGCTTGGAAAGTTTTTTTGCAATTAAAAGATTTCAATCTAAAGGAAACTGATAGTAAAATATAGATGTTTAGATAAGGGTTGTTAACCGGAGGATTTCGTGCAATTCCGGAAAAACAACATTCTTTCGTAAGGAGATTGAGAACGAGGAATTACATTTTTTCGTACCGAATGTTACAAAACATTTAAAATCGCCGATGTTCAATTCGCAAAAGCCTCCTCCGAAATTTAGCATTTCGCAAGTTGACATACGAAACAAAACTATTTTGCAACATACGAAAGTAGCGGTTTCGGAAGTCGCACTTGCGAAACAAACATTTTCGCCAAACGACGTTTTGAAGTCTATAAAGAAAATTTGTTTGCCAGACTGATTTTAATTGTAAAAGTTAACATCTTTAAATCCCAAAATGTTTATAATGAATTTTTATTTTCTGTATAATAACATATTAAAATTTTATGGTTTTATTTTTAGAAATATTGATAAAAAATAAAATTTCTTTCGAAACAAAAGTATTTCAAATCACAACATACGAAAGAATGCTTAACGGAAATAAACTTACGAAACGTGCCATAATAAATATATATAACGATGTTTTTTGAACTCATTACGTATATTAAAAATAAGAATGAGGGAGGAATATACATGTTTTTTACGTATTTAAAAATAAGAATGAGAGGTAGGAATATACATGTTTTTTTTTAAAGCATATGAAATTTTTGAAACAGGTTCGAATATGCTTAAGCAAATAGTAAAAAGAGGCTCAAAAATATGCTTTAGCTTAAGCATATTTCTGATAAAATATACCTATTTCAATAATTTCTAAAAGTGTGCACGTTACTAAAGCTCTTGCAGATTTTAAAGGTATGTAGAGTCCTGTTTGAATACGCTTTTCGAAGTATAGATCTTAGAAAATATTGTTTTTTAATTTTAATAAGATATAAATTTAAGTATAAGATCGTATAGTTCAGTTAGATACATGATAATTCGCCGCAGAGATCCGGGTTCGCATCCTGCAGCCATTTTTTGTTCATCAAACGCTTTTTACTTAAGATAGCAATTTTTGACTTCCATGTTCTATATTACAGATCTTTCGTCACCTTCATAAAAGTGACAACCTCTCTTCTCTTAGTTATTCTTTTAAGATTGAGTTCATTGTGCTTAATTCTACACGTTTCCCTTGCTTTACTAAGTTCTACTTAAATTATGATGAAATGTACGTAAAACAACTTTTTCAAATAATATAAATCATTTTGCTTTAAATCTTGTGCTTTTTGTACTAGACATCTGTCCTAAACACTTTGTAATAATTTCAAGCTAACTCTGAGTCTAAAATAATCATTTCTGAATATAATTTCCCTGAGGCTTCTACAGCCTATTGTGTTCCATTAAAAGTAACTAGTTTTCGAGTCCAGATATTAATTATAAGCAACTAAAGGTTCACATTACTATTCATTTTCCTGATATATAGAATCCTATTTGCATACGTATCTCTTTCTGTAAATTCTGTTTTATATAGTTTCTTAATTATATAATAAATAAATATTACTATTCACTTAGTTGAATGAACGTATAGCTCACTCAGTTAAGTCATTTGGCCGCGGAGACCCAGGTTCACACCCCGCTGTATATAATGTATATAAAAAAACAACATTGTTAATAAGATTAATTATCAGAATAATGAAAAATTCTTATTTTCAGCTGCTTCCAGTTACTTTCAGGAGTAAATGTGGCTTCAAATATGCCAGCTAAAAGGAAAGATACTTGCAAGTGATTTGTCCTATACACTAAATTTTAAATGATCACCAACGATAAAGCAATTATGTTCATAGCATTTATCTTATTATTTATTTCTCTTTTTTTTATTACAAAATTTAGTTACAGCATATTTTTAAACTTTATTTCCATTTTCAATTTATCAGTACAACAGCAAAATAAATTCCCACCAATTTTTTTGCGCTACAAATAAATATAAGGATCAAATCATTATACTTCAACAATTTAAAGAAAACTTTGTGGGTCACCATGTCTGATTTTCCTGATTTTTACATATTGTTATTTGCATTATGTAGATAGGTTGAATTTAAAATTTTAGATTTCCGAGAACAGCGGTTCAGAAATTATAGCCTTAGAAGCACGACACTAACCCTAACCCTGACCCCATTGATTTACAAATGTTCAAAACATGCTATTTCAGAGCTGCATAACTTTTTTCTCACTGTCACCAAGTGTGTCATTTTTTCTAGCACTATTTTCTGGACTTTCTAGAACTATTTTCTAGAAATGTTTCTCTTTAAAAAAGTGGTTTATATTTACTTGCAATAAATTAGAAAAAAATTATGACCTTCTTAGCTTTAGAAAAAATCCTAAAATTGCTAAAATATGCCAAAATGAAACTAACTTAAGCATTTTTCTAATCATCCACAAGTCTTCTGATACTGATTAGCTACTATACTCTGCAATAAATGGGCATAATATAGGCAGCTTTTTGTAGTTTAGAACTCAAATATATCTGCAAGTAAAATGTCTATTCGCCTAAAAAGTACAATGGTTGATCATCAGACTGTATGTGGTCTGGTCAGTATTCACACCCTCCCCTCACTAATGGTTTAGAGGGGTGACACCAATCAAAAGAAGGGGGGGAGTTCAACCAACATACAGAGATACGTGTTTTCATTTTCTATTTTATTCTTTTCATTTTATTGCAGACAGAAGTAGCTAATCAGAGAACTTATCATAGTTTTTCTTTAAGTTAATACAAGTTAATAAAAGCTTAACATTGATAATCTTTACATTAACTTTTTTTTTTAACTATTTTTTTTTTTTTTTTTTTTTTTACACTTTTGCCGATAAAAAAAATTTACAGTCGTAACTTATAAAAAAAAATAATTACATGACCGGGGCTAGAAGAAGACAAATTTAGTCTTATCATTAAGCCCCAATTTTTTTTAACTTTTTTTTAAGCCCCAATTTTTTTTAACTGAAAATGTTAGCTTAAAATTTACTGGCTTTCATTTCTTTATGTAAAATGCAATGTATTTTATTTCAAAGTTAAAAATACTTGTTACAACCGAGTATTAAAGAATAATGATTTTCATAAAATGATAATTTTATAAAGTCATACAAATACTCGTCAGAATACTCTACAGTATACCTTACTATACTTACCCAAAATTATGTTGGGGATTTTTCATCTGTGTTTTCATAGGTTGCTTTCACTTTAGTGAAACAGCCGAGGTAAATGCCCTGAAGACAACCACCTTGATGCTGTAACTTATTACCCTGATATTGCAAGATATCATGATCAATTGAATGAGGTAGCAAGGCATAAATAATAAAAATTAAAATTCAATTTACTAGGAATGTTTTATATAAAGCATTCTATTGTGTGTTTTATTTAGCTATGTGACACTAAAAAAAAACTTTTTTTAACATACGACACTAAAAAAAAGAACATAAAAATTATTTGGTGCTAATTAATAGTGCCACTTAAAAAATAATATGTCAACAAACTTGACATTAGAGGATTTTGAAGTAATTTTAACCAAATAGAGTTTTGATATTGTTATTATACATTTTATTGTTATATTTCATTGTTATTACATATTGTTATTATAATTAACTAAGATCACAATTTTACAAATAGAATATTTGTGCATAATAAATAAGTCTATCAACTTTTTGTTCGTTTGTATCTACTTTTGGTGGTTTAATCGTTTATATGTAATAGTACATTTGATATTCTTATTACGCATTTAGATGTTTTTTTAATGCTGCGACTGATGTTGAACATACTATTTTGGGTAGTAGAGTATTCCTCAAATTTGTGTTTTGCATAATAAGAAAGTTTATCCATACATCTGCTTACAAAGTACCTTTTTTAACTTATAAGCGTGACCGTTGGTGTTGATTGAGGAATACTAAATGGTATTTAATGAGAATCCAAAAGAGTTCAGTGAGTCCAGTCAAGCCAAAAACAGGTTTACTAGACTCGTATTGAATATTTTGAATTATTCGTTGATCTTTTTTAAGTCTAGGATAGTAGAGAGTAGAGCTGCAATAATCGAGGTGAGGATGAACAAGAGCAATAAAATAAGTAGGGGATATCGAGATAATGAGATTTACAAAAAATCTTTTGATCATTCCAAAAATTTTATTTGCGGTGTTAATCTTTGTATTTACAAAAGAAAAAAAAGTTAAATTACTGTCAAAGAAGTTGCCAAGGTCATTTTTGTCAATTTGAGATGCCTTTTTATATTATTTGCCTTTGTAAAGAATACTGTTTTCATATATTTGCTGGATCTTCAAATGATATCCTTTAAACAATTTTCTAAAAGTATGTTGTAAGCACGCTTAAACCTTCTCTAGCAACTGTACTATTTTAAATTGTTGTGTTTAAATTTTTTAGCATTTATCCTTTTAATTTTTCAATTTAGAGTCCATTTCAACCTGCAGTAAAAGGCAATGTTACATATACAACACAAAATTTACTTGACGGTTATGGTGCTTCAACTATTATCTTGCCAATTATCATCTTCATAGAGCAAATTTCTGTAACAAAAGCATTTGGGAGGAAATTTAACTACAAAGTAAAAGCACAAAATGAGTTAATTGCTATAGGAATGATGAACATTGTTGCTTCTTTTCTTGGAGGTTGGACTGTTGGCGGAAGTTTTACACGTTCTGCAGTTAATTCTATAAGTGGTGCTCAAACTCCTTTAGCAGGTAAAGTTTTATATTCAGATGGTGAAATAACCAGTTCTTGGTATTAATTTTTCAACCAGTTCTTGGTATTAATTTTTCAAAGTTTGAAAAATTAATACCAAAAATTAATATTAATGTGAAAATTTTTATTAAAATATAAATAATAGTTTAACAAAAAGATAATTTTTCAGATTAATTATTGTTTTTTGTTTGCACTGCAATCTTTTTGCTTATTAATTTTTGCATTTTTATTTATTTTCAATAGAACAAATATTGTAAACAAAAACTGTTTAATACTTTGTCTAAATAAATTTTTTAATACTTTGTCTAAATAAATAATTTGTTTTGTTATCACAGTAGTTTTTCTTATTAGTGTGCTGCTTTTTTGCAAAACATTTTCCTGTAGAATTAAAGAATCGCCCCTGCTTGTTCTGGGTAAACTCTGAATCTTTTATCAGTACATTTTAAAGTGGTACAAAATGGTTTATTACAATATAATCTTTAAAAATACAGAGTATATTTAAGTGCAAGTTTTAGTCAAATCTGAACAGGAATAATTACTTTCTTACTCAACACTTGAATAAGTTAACCGGTTTTTGTTAGAGTTGTAGGAATTATCAGTATTACATTCAGAAACTCAGTTTTATTTAATAGTAGAACTTTATATTTTTATTTGGCATTTAATAAAATTATTTGTGTTATAAAGATTACAAAGTTAAATTAGTAGAATTATTTTTAAGAAATGCGGTTAAACTTAAAATTTAAAAATAATTATTTTTAAACTTTTAGTTAAGCACAGATAATTTAAAAAACCTTTTCTAATTTAACTAGTAATACATTATAGGGTAACTAATTTACCTTGTTGCCTAAGAAATAAAGCAATATAAAATTTAAAAAGTGTTTATAAAACAATTATAAAACTAACAAATAAAAAAGTGTTAGCTTGTTTAACTTGAATAGTTAAAAAAATGCAATAATTAACGATGGTCAGTAATTTAGTAATTTCGAAGGAGCCAATGGAAAAAATCAACCCATATTAGTTTATTTATCCTCATCTTCTATTTGATCATAACTGTAACTATAATAAAATTTAAAAAAATATTAATGTAATTCGACAACTTAATAACATATATTTTTTAAAATGAAAAAGCTTATTCAACTTAAAATAGTTTTAGAATGGTGAAAAGCTTTCCATTATAATTTTTTCATAGTTATAATAATCATAGTTTTTCAGAAAAAAATCTCAAAGTTAAAAATATAATTGTATGAAAGTTTGCCTTCATCTTTTATTTAACAAAAACTGTATTTATAACGAAATATATAAAAATATAATTTTTATTCGATAACGTAATAAAATATATTTTACTTTTAAATTGTACCATTATAAACATCTTGTTATTAATTTCTTGTCATTAAAAATAAATTATTTGACTACTGTAGAATTAAGTTATAACCTTCAAATTAATATTAAAAAATAAATACATTAACAAACAATCATCATTTAATTTGTAAACTATGCAAAGCTTTTTTCAAGTGAAAAAATCTTCCTACTATAGAATTAAAAAGATTAATTCGTAAAAATATTGTCAAAATGCTGTTTAGATTTAGCTGACTTCTTCCGCGTGAAAAAAAAAGATGGCATGTAATAAAATCGGAATCATTTTTTTTATATATTTGCATCATTTTTTAAAATTTTTTTAAGTATTTACAAAATATTTTGGTTAATCATGATAAGTAGTTCGTATGTACTTGCTAGGATAACTCGGTAATCAATATATATACCATCAGATTAAATGAAACCTAATAAATTTTGATGTATTAGGTAAAAAATTAATAGGATTAGTCTGAATAACTTGCACTTAACTAGATTTTTAGGAAGTTAGACGGTTTCTTATGAATTCTAGCCTGTTTTTTTTTCTTGGATAATGTATGCGTAGGAGCTAAATATTCTATAAATTTATTTGGATCTTTTTTATGATATAAAACTCAAAAAAAGTTTTTTTTTTTTTTTTTTTTTTATCTTCGCTTCCAACAAGGTTGCAAGCAACCACTAATTAGTGTTGGAAGTTACTGGAAGAGAAAAGATGAAGATTGTAGAGCAAGATAACGATTGACTGATGACTTAAAATATTGCAAATTATATGAATCAGGAAAGCAAGATGAAGGAAGCGAATTCCAAAGAACTGATGTTCGAGGAAAAAAACTAGACGAATAAAAGTTTCTAGAGCACTTAGGAACAGTAACAGAAAAAGGATGAGACTTAATTGAATGACGAGTAACACGAGAATGAATTTTAGTAGATGGCACAAGAGACGCTAGCTCTTTCGAGCAGTGCCCATTATAGTATTTGTAGAAAAGAGAAAGAGAAGCGACATTACGACGATGTGACAGAGGTTGAAGGTTGGCTGCAAGAGCAGGTCCAGCTATGTTTACAATGCGTTTTTGCACCCTGTCTAAAAGAGAAAAGGCATCATTAGAAGATCCGCCCCAGATATGGCAACAGTATTCCATACAAGGCCGGATTTGAGATTTATAGAGATAGAGAATAGAATCCAGAGTAAGAAAGTGACGAGCTCGATAAAAGAAGCAACTTTAGCAGATGCTAATTTTGCAACGGATTTTATATAAGGTTTCCAAGAAAGATCAGAAGTAAGAGTTAATCCTAGAAGATGAAGGGTAGGAGACTCATCGAGTACATTACCGTTCATAAATATAGGAAGGTCTAAATTATTACGATAACGATTGGCCGAAAAAAATTGAGTTTTATCTGAATTAAAGTTCACCAGCCACTGCGAGCCCCATGCTGTAGCAGATGTGAGATCCTTTTCGAGCTCAGATGCCCCCTGCAAGCAATCAGAGGGTGTTGGCTTCTTATCGTGACAAGAATAAATGGTAGTATCATCAGCGAACAATGCCACCTTAGATGTGAGAATATCTGGAAGATCGTTAATGTAAATTAAAAAGAGTATAGGGCCAAGGATTGAACCTTGGGGAACCCCTCAGGTTACAGAATAAGAAGAAGAGTGCTGTCCATCAAGGACAACTTTTATACTACGATTGGAAAGGAAGGATTCAATAATCTTAAAGATGTTTCCAGATACACCATAAGAAGAAAGCTTATGGAGGAGACCAGCATGCCAAACTTTATCAAACGCTTTAGAAATGTCAAGAGCAATGGCCTTAGCCTCTCCACCTTTATCTAATGCGCGATAAAACCTATTGGTTATTACTGATAGCAAATCAGCCGTAGAACGAGAAGATCGAAATCCATACTGATGATCAGAAAGTAGGTTATGAGATTCGAGATGAGAGATTAAGTGTTTGTTAATTAAAGATTCCAAAACCTTGCTTATGATAGAAAGAAGACTAATGGGACGGTAGTTAGATGAGTCAGGTCGCTCTCCAGAATTTTTGAAAATAGGGATAACAGATGCTGCTTTCCAGCAGGCTGGAAAACAAGACTCTGATAAGCACTTGTTGAATAGTTTTGAAAAGATAGACGACAGCTCAGGAGAACACTTCTGCAAGACTATAACAGGTATGTTGTCCGGGCCGCAAGCTGTAGAAGAGTCTAAGCGGGAAATCACTTTAGATACAGAAGCTGGAGTGATACGAATGTCGAGCAATGGATCAACCTGTTTGACTGGTATATCAGGTAAAACGCAACTAGTGGCATCAAAAGATGATATTGATGAAAAGTTCTTGGCAAACAATTCAGCTTTGTCTTTAGGTGAGGTGACAAAGTCTGAACCATACAAAAGAGGTGGAATTACAGACTTGCCCTTATTATTGATACTATTAAAGATTCTCCAGAAGTCACGAAAGCCTAATTTTTGTGATGAAATACGAGATTTCATTATCTGAGAATAGCGGGTTTTGGCGTTAGACAAAACCTTTTTACAATGGTTCCTAAATAGTTTTATTTGTAATAAACTATTTGTTTAGTAAACTATTTATAATAAAATATTTGTAATAACTATTTATAATAAACTATTTGTAATAAACTATTTGTTCCTAAATAGTTTTATTTGTAAGTAAAAAATTTTGATTAAAATTTCTTGTTGCAAGTAACTCAAATTTTAATCTACACAAAGTTTACGCAAATTTTTAACTTTCTGTTTGGTATTTAGAATTTATTGCGTAATATGTTTTGTTGCAGGCCTCTATGTATATTCGTGTGCACATATGTGTTACAAGCAAACTTTTTGTTGATATGAGATCCTTATATGATAAGGATTTGAAAAATGACAGGCATCACTCGATTTTCATTTTGCATGACAGTTGGTATGACGAAACTGGTCCCCATAGCAACTAAATTCTTTTTTTAGCAAAATAATAATTTTTTTTTATACCAATCAAAAGAGCATAAATCAGGTATTCAAAATGATATTTTATAACATCATACGATGCTTGATGATTGTATTATTTCTAATGTTTTGATAACATTTTATTTTTACATAATTCTACCAATAAGAATGCAACAATTCGAACGCTTTGTTTTTATTTTTTGCTTTTAAAAATGTTTCTATACTGTGTTATTGCTGTTTCACGTATTAATATTAAACGTATAAATTCACGTATTAATGTTTAACGTATAAATATTATTAGCAAATGGATGACGAAGAACGAAATAAATAAAATTTTTGACTTTTTTAAATGCATTGTTTACCAGGAGGATAATCGTAAAAAAAAAGTTTTTGTTTATTTGATTTTTAAAGTATTATTTCATATATCTACGTAAAAATATAAATCTGCGTATTTTCACATCTCTTATCTAAAAATATTTTGGATATGTTCTTTAAGTAGTTTTTAAAAGTGTCTTCAAGCAATTACTAAATTTATTTTCAGATTTTAAAAACCAATTTGCTTGACGCTTCGGAAAAACTAATGGTATGTTTAAGGCAAAATTACTCCTAAATTACACTCAGAATGTTACATAAAGTTCACTCAACGAAAAAGTTTGCAACGTTTGCTTGAACATCACAGTATGTTTATTGCAAGCAATTATGAAACTAAACCCA